TACATGTATTTATAGAGTCTCGCTCTGTTTATTGACGGGCCCGTATTGACGTGCACGAGTCGCCGGCCGGTAAGCGATAGGCATCAATGACTGACCGATGCCGCTATCTGCTCCCAGTGTTTGTAAATGTCCACTTGAGAGTGCGGCGCCGCAACCTGGACGCTGGGCCTTGGGCTCTCATCACCATGCCAACGCCGGAAGCCAGACGCAGCTTCCTGAAAGTGGCGCATGCGTTGTGCGGTTGTTCTATAGCGCGCTTGGTGTACGTTTTGGGCGGATAGGGAACCAGACGAGAAAAAAAAGGATTTATCTAGTTATTAAAAAGAATGTTTTAGCGTATGTGTGCAAACTGAAAAAAGTGTTGCATTGTTTTGCCCCCTGAAGTTCAGAGGAAATTGAAATGAACTGTAATTTATGCTCAAATAAATACAATAAATAACTAAATATGTTTAAAGAAGTACATAAAACAACAAAAACTATGAAAAAATAAATAAATAAGTAAATAAATAGATAAATAAATAAATTTAAAAAAATGAAAATCAGATCTACAACCCTTGACTAAAAAAACAAAAACTTGGGGTTGTTGAACAAAGAGCCCCATCAACTTAACATGAAGAAAAAAAAATTACAAGTCTTAGTAGTTCTAGTACAACCCCAGAGTAGAACTTGCACCTCGCTTTTTAGAGGTAGAGTAAGTGGCACAAGTTCGCCCATTATGGCTTAGCTGTCAGGCAGAAACAGTGCGGATAGTGTTTCCAACTCTAAAAACTTTTAAAGTTGTAAAAAAAATTACTTTGCAAAAAAAATTTGATTTAATTTCTTTGTGCACCTACATTTTCTAAACAATTTCACCTTTGGAACCCCTCCTAGTCCACCCCCCCCCCTAAAAAAAAAAAGAAAGCAAACAAAAAACAAAAACAAAATCAACAAAAAATCTCCAGCCTGCTGACAGTATTCAGTAACCTGCTTTGCGTAAAACATTGGTTCGATCACACTGATTACTTTGTCCCAAGCGTTTCAAAACTGAAAGATCTATTTCATTAGAGTAATTTCCAGCCTTCGAATTTCTCCTTGTGTCTGGTGAATGTAATCCAAATGGAGATATTTTGCTTTGTGAAGAGGTAAGTCAGCCCCCGGCCTCGTGGACCAGACGATCTTGTATTGCTTTGCACTCTGCCTGACGTCTAAACCGCCGGTGTTCGATATAGCTCAACGACACTGAGTCATTGGCTGGAAAGGAATAAATCTGAACGTCTCTTATTTTTTTTCAACATAGATCTCAGGGGCACGTTCCTGCAGCTTTGTTGAGGGTAATCTCAGAAACAATTCTGCAAGTGCAAGAGCAGGGTCTGGCATTGATTAAAAGAAAATTTGGGGGAAGATTTAAACCACCTAGGCCAATACCGTTCAATCGAAAATTAAAGAAAAGGAACGGTATAAAGATAAAAGTATTCCTTCTCTCAAGTCGTGAGATGAGGGAGGCAAAACACAACATGTACGAAAAAAAAATATGATAAAAGTGTGTATGCACAAATAAGTATGAGTTTATTCTTATTTTGTATGCC